CTCTCTGTCACTGACAGGCTCGTTAAGCGTTGTCAAGGTAACCGTGCTTCAAAGAGATTTTACCTCTGCTGTTTTAAACAGCACATATTAATCTAATGGAGGGTGAAAGCACTGATTTAACATTGGGAAATGGATACTATATGACTGCTGTCCATGACACTTCCCTTGCCACTCAACACTGATAGACTTTCAAAATAAGACTCCAGGGACCCTACAAAATAAAAGCCTCTATATTTTTTACATATATTTATTGCCCTATATGGCTCAACATTATGACCCAAACTCAACCCCATTTTAGAGAATAGACTCTAGGAGACTGTTTAAAACACAACCTAAGGCAAATTTCAAAATAAAAGCCTCCCATTTCATCTTCATCTACTGCCCTAATAACATGGAAAAAGAGTGATTTAACGATTGGAAAGTCATCAACTATCATTGCTGGGTCTGAACATTTTCTCTAAACACAACTCTGTTGGACTTTCAAAATAAGACTACAGGGACCCTACAAAATAAAAGCCTCTAGATTATACTAATGCAATAATTGATGCAAATGGCTCAACATTATGACCCAAACTCTTCCAGGTTGTTTTTATTAGACTCTAGTGACCTTTTCAAAACACACCCCAGAGCAAATTTCACAATAAAAGTCTCCCATTTACTCTGTAATACAGCAGCTATTCACCTAATAACATGGAAAACCAGTGATTTAACATTTGGAAATGGATTCTATATCACTGCTGGGCATGACCCATCTTTTGATGCACATCCATGATAGACTTTCAAAATAACACTACAGGGACTCTACAGAATAAAAGCCTCTTCCTTATACACACTCATACATTCTGGCATATTGCTCATAGCCATTGGTGATTTCATCACTGCAATGGCTCTTAGAAGGCGGGCGAAGCCCGCCATTGGTGATTTCATCACTGCAATGGCTCTTAGCAGGCGGGCAGAGCCCGCCATTGGTGATTTTTTTCATCGCTGCAAGGGCTCCTAGCAGGCGGGCGGAGCCCGCCAACTGCGCTTTACCCACTGCGGTTCAATATGGACAACCCATATTACCCTTGTGCATCATATGCTGTGCACGTCTATTTCCCAGATTTCAGCACAAGTGGCACACAGCTCTCTTTGCCCATGACCTAGCCCTCTTTCCTTCCCTCAGCAGCCCTCAAAGGCGTAAGCAGTTGGTCTGGGGAGCCCCAATGTCACTTGCCAGGGCCGTATTGGCCCAGTTACCCAGACGGGCAGTAGGTGGCCCCCCTCAAAATTTCTTTAGAAATTTTCTAGTTAAATTAAACATATACTTTAAATGTTGGTAACATTAAATGTTAGTAATTTATGTTGTCAGTTGTCAGTTATGTTTACAGTGTCTCTCAGTTTACTTGTTAGTTGTTTTAATGATGTTTATTTTGCTTTGCTTTGAAGTTATTTAATAATTAATTTTACTTGCTGTCTGTATTTGTTTTTCTAAATTGTTTGATTTATATAGAAAAGAACAAAATTGTATTGAACTCATTTTAAATATATATTGTATAAGAAAAAAAAAGAAAACTATATGATCAAATATAATAAGAAAAGGTCCTGTGAATTTATATAGATTCATTGTGTATAATGAATCTATATCCCCCAGCTGTGCTGTTGGTTAACCAGAGGGGAGGCTAACCAGAGTATTTGTTTTTCTCTACCATTCATTACAGTAAAAAAATAATAATAAAAAAAAAAAACTGCTGTCTGTCATCTGATCTGTGCATGATGGGATGGCTAATAGACAAGCTGTGACATATATAGACAACTTCCTGATTCACATATTTCATATATGACAACTGACCCTTTTTTTGTTTGTTTCTTTCTTTTTTCTGTCTTATTGAGAGTAGTGGGCTTTAGGATGCCCTGCACGGAGAAGGACCAGGACAAGGTCAGAAGACAGGACAGACACTAAAATCCTCTCTATCCACTGACCAGGAACCATGATACGAACCTTGGAACAAAACTAAAAACGACCAAACAGAACACAAGCAAAAGGCAAAACAACAAAACAATGATCTGGCCCCAATCGCTCGGGGTGAACCGAATATAAAGAAGAGACGAAGGTGGAAAAGATAAGGGAAAATTAACAATAAAGGGGAAGCTATCAGGCCAGATCATGACAGCTTGAGCCAAACATCCTCTAAATGTGCACATTGATCACACCATTTCACTTTTCTTTAACCAGTTTACTGCAGTTCTTCCAGCAGTCCACACTTTCTCTGCTCTCTTTTTCTCATAATCTTCTCCTTCTTTCCCATCGCCCGGCTTGCCACAGGTTTGCCTGCTGGGTCTAAAAGTAGCAGCAGCAGCAACCCAGACTGACAGGAGCTCATTGGCTAATTTCGATCAGCCGGTCACTACGATTTGCTTTACCATATTAACAGGAGAAGCGGCACAAGTGAAGATTAGACACTGTCATTGGACAAAATGCAGTAATTTACAAATGTTTTAAACCAGGTTGGGTCCGGATTAGCCAGCAGGTGGGTCAAGATCCTCTAATCTGTGACCTCTGTGTTATCCAGTAGCCCAATAAAGCCTTGCTTCTGCTTAGAAGACATGCAAATTGAAAAGGACGAACGGTTCCATCCCTTTGGAATGTTTTTTTTTTGGCTTCTTTGTTAGCCTGCAATGCCCCATACCTGTCTATGTCTCTGAAAGAGGGGTTGTTATAGGGAATTGTTGGCCTGGCTGAATAGGTGAGGTCTTCTGTTTCGCTGTAAAGTGATTGGGGTTGCGATGAATCAACTCATTAATTCCAGACAGAAAACCTGCAGCTTTACCACTCCATGAACCAGCTCTCGGCATCATTGGTGCTTTCTTTTGGAGGACAACCTTTTCTATATAAAGCAGACCGTCTACTTCAGAGTTTCAGGTCCTATTTCTGCTCATTTAGATCATTGTGGCTAACAGCTGCTGAAACCCCAAACTTCATTTTCTGGAACAAATTAGAAGTGAATATTTAAAATAGTTTTATAAGTTATGGCTGACAAAGGACTGCGGCTGACTGAGCATGAGTGGATGCATTAATAGAAAGGTGTGGAAGAAAGAAGAAAACGGGCCCTATCCTGCAGAGGCTGCAGGATCACAAACGGCACAGAACTCTTCTTAGAAATGATATTTTAGGCTTTTATTTCCTTTATGCCATCATTGTTCACTTTTAGATGCATAATTTACATATATATATCCAGTTAATTGTAGGGTCTGTAAGGGTCAATGCATTTTCATTGAAAACCATATAGACAAAATAAACCAATTTTTCTATTTAAAAAACTCTTTTGCTCCTCAATTATTAAATAATCATATGAGCAGAGCAACACATATATTTGTTGTGTTTAATTGATTATTATTATTTAGGTTATTCAACAGTGGTTGAAAGTTATAATCCTCTAACTAAACCTGATATTTTATGCAACATCTTTGATCAGAAGAGTGACCTGTCCATGAACAGTAATTATAGCACAATTCCTTCCACTATGAGGAAAAAAATATACAGAGCATGCAATATTTCCTGTGACAGTCTATAATTTTTATGACCGTTTAGTTGTACATAAATCATTTCCTTTAGGAAACGTCACTTTCCTTCTTCATCCACATTTCAAAGCTTCAATACAAAGTCAAGGTTGAGCTTGGCTTACTTTACAGAAACTTCCTTCACCACTCCACTGGTCAGGACGCCATTCTCAATAAGAACTTTTTCTTAATGACTTGGCTGTAAAAATAAAGGAGCCCAATGGTTGCTGCTGAAGGTGCAGCATTTAGAGCTAATGAAACATTTATCACTGAGGCTACTTTGACCTGGTTAAGCCAGTTACTAACACTTCTAAGCCATGCTCTCGTTCCTAGCTCCTTCCTAACTGCCAGCACTATTCAGACAGCATTTATTATGGCGACCATGGAGGCACTTCTGCCGTAGCTTAGAAGGTTAAACTGATTTAAGGTATTCAGATCAGCCCTGGTATTTTGAGCTTAAAATTTTATAATAAAATCCTTTGAAAATCCAAATTTCCAGCCAATAGTGTTAAGACAAGACCTTATTACCTTTGTAACATTAAAATATTATGGATATTTTGATGGCAAAAATCATGTCAATGTAATAACAAGAAACGTCAACTTGTCCAAATATATTAAGAAAAATGAAAATGCTTCTATAAGAAATTATTGAAAAACACTCTGAGAGAGAAAGAAACACTTTTTTTCTTGGTACAACATAATCTTAGAGGCATTAATGCTGATACTGGCACTTTTTTAGTTAATAAACCTAAATGTAATTGTAATTCTTTATTTTTGAGCTTTTCAATCAGTTAACCTTTTTTTCTTGACTTGTTAACTTTTTTTAGCTTAATTTACAGTAGGCAAATTTTTCCGGCCTGGGATTTTAGTGCTTATATGAGAAAAACGCTTTTAATTGTGCAAATATTTGTTTATTTGTTACAATTTCTCGAATTAATTGAAATTAACGAGTTTTTATATATATGTATAGATATCCATCTATTTGTGAGGAACCTTTATGTTTTTCTTTAAATCACTGAAGTAATTCATTGTGAAATAACAACCGTTCCTTCACTGAGATCATTGTGTTATAGATAACACCTGTCTGAACCACAGCAGCAAACCTTCAGAACCCAATGATGGCTCCATCCAGTGAGGAGCTGCTGCTTCCCCTCTTAAAGCAGAAAAGTGTTTCTTTCCTTTATATTACTAAAGTTTCAAACTGAAATCTGTTTCTGTGTTAATAACAGAAGTATCTTTAAGTTGTTTATAGTTATGAGTGTAAAAAGAAGCCAAAGCAGTTTCAGCGGCTGTAGAAACACTAAAAGTCTCCAGTTTCTAAGAACAGAAGCAGCAGGTCCAGGTCGTGCTACAGTGGGAGCTGGTTGAACAGCCCACTAGAAGCTCTGCAGACGGTCGTAATGTTCTGCTGGGAAAAGCCGCCATGACTGAACTCATGGAGAAATAAACAAACAGAGGGA